AGTGTGAGGTGTTGCATTTTAGAAAAGTCAAACCAAGGTAGGACTTATACAGTAAATGGTAAGGTCCTGAGCAGTGTTGTAGAAGAGGAGTACAAGTACTTAGTTAGTTGAAAGCAGAGTCACAAGTAGACAGGGTGGTGATGAAGGCATTTAGCATGCTGGCCTTCACTGGTTGAGGCATTGAGTATAGGAGTTGGGAAATTATGTTATAGTTGTATAAGTCGTTGGTGAGGCCGCACTTGGGAGTATTGTGTACAGGTTTGGTCACCCTGTTACAGGAAAGACATTGTTAAAACTGGAAAGTGTGCAACAAAGATTTACAATGATGTTGCCAGGACTAGTAGGCCTGAGTTATAGGGAGAGGTTGTCCAGGATAGGACATAATTCCTTGGAATGTGGGAGAATGAGGGGTGACTTTATTGAGGTATGTAAAATCATGAGGGGCATAGATAGGATGAATGTATGTAGTCTTTTTCCCATGGATGGGGAATTGAAAACTAGAGGGCATAGGTTTAAGGTGAGAGGGGAAAGATTTAAGAAGGACCTGAGGAGCAACTCATTCACGCAGAGAGTGGTGCGTATATGGAATGGGCTGCCAGAGAAAGTGGTTGAGGCAGGTACAATAGCAACATTTAAAAAACATTTGGATACGTGCATGGATGGGAAAGTTGAGAAGGATATGAGCCAAATGCGGGCAACTGGAACTAGTTGAGTGGGCACCATGGTCAGCATGGACCAGTTTGGGCTGAAGGGCCTGTTTCAACGCTGTATTACACTTTGACTCTTTGTTTGTGCCAGGTACAACTACTCAATCAAATGCAGCCTTTATGACAAGAACAATCAATCATTCTCATCTTACATCTGGAATTCAGCTCTTTTATTCATGCCTAAACTAAGGCTGTAAACAGATTGAGGAGCTGAATGGCACTGGCGGAAGCCAAACTAAGTACTAGTGAGCAGTTTATTGCACAGCAAGTGCTGCTTGACTGCACTGTTGATGACACTGTCCAGTGCCTTACTGATGATTGAGAGCAGACTGATGAGGCAATAATTAGCTATGATGTAATAGTCCTTTTCTTGTATACAAGGCAATATGAACAATTATCCACGTGACAGACAGCACTGTTGTAGTTGTACTCAAAACTTACCTTGGGGGACAGCAGATTTTGAAGCACTAGTCTTGGTACTATTGCCAGAATGTTGTCAAGATCCATAGCCTTTATGGTACTGAAATGCTTCTTTCTGTTTCTTGATATCACATGGAATGAACAGAATTGGCTGAAGGCTGGCATCTATGACGCTGGGGATCTCTGGAGTATGCCAAGGTGGATCATCCACTCAGTACTTCTGACTGAAAATTTTGCGAATGCTTCAGCCTTATCTTTTACACTACTGTCATTGAGGGTGGGGTTATTTGTACAGAAGAGATCAATTTAGCTCAGCTGGTTGGGCAGTTTGCTTGTGAGGCAGTGTGATGCCAACAGTTTGGATTCAACTCCAATCACTGACTGAGGCTACCGTGAAGGACTGACCTTCTTAACCTCACACTTTTGATGACGTATGGTGGCCCTCAGGTTAAACCACCACTAGTCATCTTTCTAATGAGAGAGCAGCCCTATGGGCTGGTAAGACTATGGCGACACAATACATGTTAGTTTGTAGAGAGTCATCTTTCAATGAGCCAGTTAATTCACCAGCACCATTTAGAAATGGATGCGGCAGAATCGCTTAGCCCTGTCCATCACTTGCTTTTTACACTGTTTGGCATGCAAGCAATCCAGTTTTTCAGCTTCACCAGATTCATTCCTTGTTTTTAGGTAAGCCTGCTGCTGTTCCTGGTATTTCCTCCTGCACTCTCCATTGATCCAGGATTGAACCCTTGGCTTGATGATAATTATGCCAGACATCATGCCAGACCACGAGGTGGAGACAGATACGATAGGGGTGTTTAAGGAGCTTTTAGATAAGCACATGAATTAGCAAGGAGTAGAGGGATATGGACCACGGACAGGCAGAAGAGATTAGGTTGACTTGGCATAAAGCTCAGCACTATATTATTGCCTGAAGGGCCTGTTTCTGTGCTTTATTGTGCTATGGTCTAGGTTGCAGAATGCGCTCGAGTACAATTCAGAAGAAGGGTCTCGACCCGAAACTTCAGCTTTCTTGCTCCTCTGATGCTGCTTGGCCTGCTGTGTTCATCCAGCTCTACACCTTGTTATCTCAGATTCTCCAGCATCGGCAGTTCCTACTATCTCTGCTGGATAAGGTGATTGGTTTCCAGACCTGAACCAGTCTTTAGCTTACATTTCTCTGTAACTGAACCCACTGTCGCTACCAGCAATCGAACTGCCCCTCCTTTTGGAGACAGTGAAGTTGTGCCTGCACTCTCAGATTGCCACAGCTGTTGCATTGAAACAGGAAGTTCCAGGTGTCAAACCAACATCTGAGAAGTGTCTCACACAAACTGGCACTTCAACATTCTAACCATCAATCACTCACTATTATGTATGATTGTCCAATATGTCACTGGTCATGGGTTTGCTATGTAGATTAGATGCATGGGATATCTTTTAATGTGGAAATGATGTCAAATATCAGTAGACACACTGACCTTGACAGAAAGTTGATCCAGTTCTAATTGCTGCACTGTATCTTAATACATCACGTTATACAGTCTCTTAGCGATTTAAAAAAAAGTAGACCCAACATCGGCTTACAAGGAGCCTGAAACAGCAAGTCCCAAGAACAGATGGAAATATTACGGTAGTAATATTTATATTGAGGATATTCTATAATACATTGTATATGACACTGCAATGCCACAAAGACAACACTGTAGGGGCTACAGTGACCGAAAGAAGGGACAAGGAAGATAGGAAAGGGGAATGCGTGCACAAGACAGAATGGATGAGGCGTGTAAAACTGAGTGAGGCTGCCAGTTTTGAGGACTAGAGAAACAGGGCAGCAAGGGTGCAGTATCAGAACAGATACAGCATGGCAGAGAGCTAAAGGAAAATCAACAAGGCTAGCACACAGTGATAACAAAGGAAACCCATCAGAGGCAAAACCTAATGAAACAGGGAAAGACAGCAAAAAGTATCATAAACATCTCAGATACATTCAATGCCTCATCATGAAGGAATGCTCAGTCTTCCCAAGTTCAGGCACTTTTCTGCACAGCACAATTTCAGAGGAATTCAGAATCTGGCTTGTGACCTAAAAATGTACCAAGCATTAAGACCGATGCCTCTGGACAATCCTTGCCAATTTTTAAAGAAAAGCAGATTGATATTTACTGTTTCTGAGCTCTGAACAGGGTCCTTTGGAAAACCCTCAGGGTCCAACAACTCTTTCCCTGTCTGGGGCACTCATATGGAAACACACACAAAGTCTAAACAATTCCACCCCATCTAACACCCCTTTCACTTCCTCTAATTACTTTTGGGATCTGTCCAAATTAAAAAACCTTGTACCAGAATAAATCTCGCACAAATTATATTTCATTTCACAATGGACCTCTTCCAATACGTTTAACACCTGCACACTCAAAGAACAGCACAGAATGTGCAAAAAAAAACAAACTAGCTACACAATCTTAGGCAACAGGTAATAATAGACGGGTGCGAGGGAGTGATTCCTCTATCACCTGAAGCAGAAAGCCTGAATGCTAGCTTCAGGTAATATTTTCAAGATATGACAACCTGGATTCAAATGACCTTTAGATCATTTGTGGGTGTCAGTACATGATTCTATTCAGTTATGGAGCATTTGGACAGTCAGTAAAAACCAAAACGAGTGGGAGATCTTGAACATCGAATCAAGGAGCTGCAGAGGAGAAATGCTGAGATGAGAGGCTATGGAGGATACTCCAAGGGTTAGTAATAGAAATAGGGACCACATTTCTTCATTCACCTACGGGACGTGAGCATTGCTGGCTGGCCAACATTTATTGTCCCTAGCTGCCTTCAAGGAGGTGGTGATGAGGAGCTGCCTTCTTGAATCTTTGCAGACCATGTACTGTAGGTAGACTCACAATGCTATAAGGGAGGAAATGCCAGGATTTTGACCAAATGACACTGAAAGAACAGCAGTACATTTCCAAGTCAGAATGGCGAATGCCTTGGAGGAGTACCTGCAGCTGGTGGCATTCACATTTGTCTGCTTTCCTTATCCTTTTTAGATAGAAGTGGTTGTGGGTCTTGGGTGAACTTCTGAACTGCATTTTGTTGGCAGTACACATAACTGCAACTGAGTGTCAGTGGTGGAGGGAGTAGACATTGTGGATGTGGTGCCAATCAAGCCGACTGCTTTATCCCGGATTGTCATAGATTTCCATAGCACAGAAAACGGCCCTTTGGCTACTGGAGTCTGTGCTGGTCAAAAACAACCACCTAACTCTTCCCAAATCCAGCACTTGGCCCATAGGTGCATACACTGGTGATGCCAAAAAATACATTTAAACACCTCTTAAATGTTAAGGATTTCCGTCTCTCCCACCCTTACAGGCAATGTATCTACTCCTCCCACCTCACTGACCAATCCCCACCACTGCCTACCTGCACTCACCTATCACCATCCCACCTACCTTCCCCAGCCCCACCCCTCCTCTTTCTATTTATTTCAGAGCTCCCTTCCCCCTCCCCCATTTCTGAAGAAGGGTCCCGACCCAAAACGTCAGCTTTCCTGCTCCTCTGATGCTGCCTAGCCTGCTGTGTTCCTCCAGCTCCACACTGTTATCCAAGTCTGTCCAACCTCTCTTCATAATTAGAAGTCTCAAGCCCAGGCAATATCCTGATAAATCGCCTCTGCATCCTCTCCAGTCATATCACATCTCTCCTGTGACATGGATTCTGGAACTGCACACAATACTCTAGTTGTCACCTAACAAATGTTTTATACTGTTGAAGCATCAACTTGCTGCTCTTAAACTCTATACCTCAGCTAATAAAGACAAGTATACCATATGCCTTGTTAACCACTTTATCCACCTGGCCTGCTACCTTAAAGGACCAGTGAAAGTGACACGAAGGTCCCTCCGATCCTCAGTGCTTTCCAGGGTCCTACTGCTCATCAGACATGCCTTTGTCTTGTCGGTCTTGCCCAAGATGGCATTGACATGGCAAGTAGCGTCCCAGCTCATCATAGCGTGTCCACTCCAGGTCAGCGGCATCGTTTTCCCTATGTATTTTTCATTTTCTTTCGTTTCTAATTGCTTTCTTCTTCATCTTCAAGGTTGGGTTGTGGCTGCAACATCAGCAGCATGACCCGAGGCTCCTAGCAGCAGCAGTGCATGCAACCTGGACTCCTGGCAGCAGCAGCTGGTGGCAGTAGGCCTGGAGCCTAGAATGTTGGTGGTGGTGGTAGCACACAGAGCCTGGACTCCTGACAACGATAATGCCCAGAGCAGGGATTCCTGGTGGTGGTAGTCCTGGAGTCTGGAATCTTGGCAGTGGCGGTGCCCAAAGCGGGTACTCCTAACAGTAGGCCCGGAGCCTGGGCTCTTGGCAGTGTCAGCAGCAGCAGAGCTGGGGTATCAGCATTGTCATTGCTGTGCCCAGAGCAAGTTTCCTTGAGGACTAGGCCACCTTGCAAAAACACTGAAGCTGTGCTTGAGACCCCAATTTGAACAGAAGATGGGCTCCTATTTAAGTAATTTCTTTTTATCCTTATTGTTCCTCAAAATGGTGCTGAATTGTGGCAATAAAAGACTTTTCACTGTATCTTCAAGATATATGTGAAAATAAATAGATCAGTAAACATTCAAGTGCCTCACAAACAGTCTAGATTCTTGAGTTTTGTTGGAGCTGCACTCATCCTAGCAAGTGGAAAGTATTCCATCATTCTCCTGAGTTGTGCCTCGTGGATGATTGACAGGCAACTTACTATCTAAACAGAAAGAAACTTTAGAGTGCTTCAGTGCAGAGTGATCTGGTTGATCTTGTGCATGAATTGCAGAAAACAGGGTACAGAAGGTAACAAGGAAGGCAAAGAGAATTTTGGTATTTATTGCTAAAGGAAGATAGTATAAAAGTAGGGAAGTATTGCTGCAATTATACAAGACATTACCCGACTGCATATGGAGTACTGCATACTATTATGGTCCCCTTACTTGAGCACGGCTGTAGTCATTGCAGGCAGTTCAGAGCAGGTTCATAAATTTATTCCAGAGATGAGGGGTTTGTTTTATGACAAGAGATTAACAATTTAGGCTTCTACTCTCGGATGAATGAGTGATCTAATTGAGACATACAAGATGCTAAACGGGATTAACAAAATAGACGTAGAAAGAATCGAAGATACCAAGAACTGCAGATGCTGGAGTCAGAGTCAACACTGTGGAACTGAGGAACACAGCAGGTCAGGCAGCATCAGAGGAGTAGGCTTCCTCACCTAGGGTAATCTAGAGTGAGAGGTCATAGTTTTAGGATAATGAATAGTGGGTTTAAAACAGAAATGACGATTAATTACTTCTCTCAAAGGGTCCTGAATCTGTGGAATTCACAACCCCAGGGTTCATGGATGCTGGGACATCAAGTAAATTTAAGGAGAAAATCAAGAGTTTTTTTTTAAATAATCACGGGTTGAAGGGTTCCAGAGAATGGGAAGGAAAGTGCAGCTGAGGCAGAGAGGAGATCGGATATGATTGTATCAGAGGCAGAGCAGGCTAGAAAGGTTGAATTGCCCATTTCTGCTCCTAGTTCCTAGGCAAGTGAGGAGGTGAGTTACTTGCTGCAGTATTCCTAGCCTCTGATCTGCTCATGAAACCACCGTATTTATGTGGCAAGTCCAGTTCAATGGTAACTATTTCCAACGTCAGTTTTGCACAGTAGATTACATGGCTCCTTGAAGGCTACGGGGTCAGAGAGGGTTTAAAAGGATTTGGATTAAAACTAGCGCTCATGGGAGCTAAAACACCAACACAGCAATTAGGTACATTGAGATAACAAGGTGTAGAGCTGGATGAATACAGCAGGCCAAGCTTACCCTAAACGTCAGCTTTCCTGCTCCTCTGATGCTGCTTGGCCTGTGTTCATCCAGCTCTACACCTTGTTATCTCAGTAGGAACTGCCAATGCTGGAGAATCTCTCTCTGAAACAATTAGGTACATTGGCTATTTTCATCTTTTCAATTGTATGTTATACGAAATCAAAATCAGAATGTGACCACAAATTAATACCTCCCTCCCAGCATTCCGCAAGATTGGGGTTCCTCTCCCGCAATTTGGTAGAATTCCCGATAAGCAGCTCAACCAAACTGCAAGTACTCCTCATCCCATTTCAAAACACTGCACAATTCCCAGAGTTCACTGCTACAACCCGAACCATTAAATTGTATGTTTATACTGTATAAAATTTTCAAAAAAATAGAACGACAGAAACTTTGTTTATATATTACGAAAAAATTCCGCACAAAAGTCTCACATACTTCACCAAGGGATTCAATCGCAACACAATTGTTTTTTTTTTCCTTCCAGCAACGGCAGAATATTTTGCTAGCTCAGGGCTCTGAAACCTGCATTTGCGGAGACCTGCTGCTGCTACTACTTCATGCGAGTCATCACCCTCAGCCTCTGGTTTGCCCGAAACACAGTCTTCCGATGTCGGCCCATACCAAAGAGGACGTCCGCCAGAGAGGAAACGCAGCCCCAACTTCTCCCTCAGCAGCGCCCCAATTCGGGCTGCCAGAGATTCGGAGCTTCGCGTCTGGAAATATAGCCTAGTACTCTCCCCCAGCATAATACAGCAGCTGGGTAACGAGATGAAATTTGCATAAACTAATATCCAGGAGACAGCGAGGTGCAGGGCTGGATGAACACAGCAGGCCAAGCAGCATCATAGGAGCAGAGAGGCAGCTACGTTTTTAAATATTCTGACTTGACATTAGGGGAGGGGAAATGCTTGTGCCAGAATGTCATTGTTACTATACACGCTTTAAAAATGATATTTTAACAAAAAATGTTGGACGCAATGATAAACGATGCATGTGTAATGAAGCAATAATGAAGTACTTGTGAAAATAAAGTTAGTGATTTCAATAAACTTGAATGTGCTGATTATAATTACATGGCTAGTTTCTATTTAAAAACAAAATTTATTAGCATTGTACTTGTGAGAACTGACACTTACTCCAAGATATTGCCTTGTCTGAATTCAAAACAATTGCTGTTCTTATTATCAAGATTGCTGTTGGCACTGGTCATTGTACAAGATAATGAGAGGAAAGGTTAACAAAGTTGGTATATCATCTGAAGCTCCTGATATATGTAAAATGTTTTCTATTCTACTTGCTATGAGCAGTCTTGTGGGACAGCAGGAGTGTCTCTTGCCTCCTGCCCAAAGGTGTTTCCAATGTCCAAATAGGTTGAGTAAAATAACTTCTACTTACCACATTGCCACTCATCTCACAAAGTTCAGGAATACGTAACAACTTCATGGATTTTCCTGTACCAGCCTACAAATGTGGAGGAAAAAGTGCCCAGAGCAACATCAGGTAGTTTACAATAATATGTTTGTTTATTCATGGTAAGTTCTTTCCTACCTGCATGCCCCCACCAGTAACATACAAGCAGGTTACTATATATGCTGATGACACTCAGATCTTGCTCATTGTCATCTCTCTGTTCCTCCAATGATACAAAATTAGGAGGTATTGTTGACAGCGAGGGAGGTTATCGAAAATTATCGAGGGATTTGATCAGATGGGGAAGTGGGCTGAGGATCGGCAAATGCAATTCAATACAGATAAGTGTGAGGTGCTGTACTTTGGAAAGTCAAACCAAGGTAGGACTTATACAGTAAATGGTAAGGTCCTGAGGAATGTTGTGGAACAGAGGGACCTGGGAGTACGAGCACATTGTTTGTTGAAAGCAGCAGCACAGGTAGACGGGGTGGTGAAGAACCATGATCCAGTCTTCCTTCACCTCCAACACCCCCCCACTGCACATTCCCCCACAACCACTAAAGGTGCAACACCTGCCCATTTACCTCCTCACTCCCCACTATCCAAGGGCCCAAACATACCTTCCAGGTGAAGCAACACTTCACCTGCACTTCCCAGAATCTAGTCTACTGCATTCGCTGCTCACAACGTGGTCTCCTCTACATGGGAAAATGAAGCGTAGATTGGGTGAATGCTTCATAGAACATCTGCACTCTGCTCACAAAAGAGACCCTGAGCTACCTGTTGCCTGCAGCTTTAACACACCACCCTGTTCCCTGGCCAACATCCCTGTCTCCAGCTTGCTGCAGTCTTCCAGCAAAGCTCAACGCAAGCTAGAAGAACAATACCTAATTTTCCGCTAGCCCTCCGGACTCAATATCGAGTTCATTAATTATAGGGCCTAACTCTCCCATGTCGTAGCCCCCTACCCCACACAACAGGCCTTGTTATCACATAGCCTGCTATTATACACTACCTATTGTTAGTCACTAACAGTCCCCATTAACAACTATTCACCCTCCGAGCCAGATAGTTATCAATTCCTTTGTCTATTCAACTGCTCTTCTCTCTCTACGGGCTCTAGCCTATTGTTTACTCCCTACCCCATCCCTCTCCCTATTTTCTGCTTATAAGCCATTTTCCCAGCTACCATCAGTTCTGAGGGAGAGCCACTGGACCCAAAATGTTAACTCTGATTATTTTCTTCACAGATGCTACCAGACCTGCTGGGCTATTCCAGCAACTTCTGTTTTTGTTGGTGAAGAAAGCATTTAGCATGCTGGCCTTCAAAGGGTGCATTGAGTATAGGAGTTGGGACATTATGTTACAGTTGAACATAGAACATAGAACAGTATAGCACAGTACAGGCCCTTCGGCCCACAATGTTGCGCTGACCTATTATCCTACTAAGATCAAACTTTCCTGCATACCCTACATTATATTATCATCCACGTGCTCATCCAAGAGTCGCCTAAAAGTCTCTCAAGTATCTGACTCCACGACAACTGCCGGCAGTGCATTCCACACGCCCACCACTCTGTGTGTAAAGAAAGTCGTTGTACAAGTCATTGGTGAGGCTGCACTTGAATGATTGTGTACAGTCTTCTTCACCCTGTTACACAAAAGACATTGTTAAACTGGAAAGTGTGCAAAGAAGATTTAAAATGATATTGCCAGGACTAGTAGGCCTGAGTTATAGGTAGAGGTTGTCTGGTCTAGGGCTTTATTCCT